GTCTCCTGCTTGTCCACTGAAGTCATAGGTAAATGACTAAAGCAATCTTGGATATATGATGAAGTCCTAGATGCCTGTGACCAAGTATAAAGGACACAGTTCTCCACTCAGATATGAAGTGGAGGAGAGGAGACGTCCTAGTCCTCATCCCCTCCTCCTCCTCTGAAAAACCCTCCCTTGTGTCAAATAAAGGAGCTTTTTGTTACTGTTCTGATATGACCCTTAATCAGTCTTCCCACAATAAGGTATGCAACCTAAAGAGGTTGGAATGGGCTGCAGTTTTATAGTATGGCCCTTCAGTCCTTCCGTCTCTCACCTCTAAACCAAGAAACTTCTTAAAGAACAGCCACTGGAAATGCCAATTTACAATAAGAAGACTAGGGTCTGAAAATAGTAGGATTAGTGCTTGTAAAATGTGAACGCCACTGTCTTGTGGTGTTTGATATACTGTTATGGAAACAACATACTGGAAACTAAAAATTATTCCGGTTAGAAAGTGTGACTTAAGTGGCCTGCATCTTCACAGTAGCTAAGCAAGCAGATATCTTGCATGAAATATTACATACCTCATTTTGGTGTCTGTGATATTTAACTGACACTTCCTTTTTTTGCTCAGTTTTTGTTCTGGGTACTTAATATTGTGATATTACAATGCCACATCATCTGACAAGTCTCCTAAGTCTAAAGGCAAGAACCTTTCCCTTTTATAAAAGAGCAAGGAAACTGTTTCACTGAAAAGAAGATAGAGCCATAATAGCAGATTTCTGGAAATCTAGGAGGGCCCTGGGGGACAGCTGAGGATATCGGTGTCCTGTATACATTTCTGTACAGGCAATATTCTCTACTAGACCGTGCAATCCAGTGAGTACAGATGTAGTATTAACAGCCTGTGGCCCTAGGTTGTTTTGTTAGCTTTATGTTTCTCTTTTATTGTTTGTTTCTGCAACCCATTTACCCTTGGACAGGAAAGATTTTTAAAAATATTTGTTCAAATGTCACAAGCTTACTACCAATGTTATCCAATTATCTATGTAGAAGATTTTATAATCCATTATTTTTCCTGCAGAAGCTCATTGTATTTACATGGCAAGAAATTGAACTTGCCTGGCGAGTGCCATTTTAAATCAATTTATTTTAAATGACAGAAGCTTGCAGGCATTCTAATTTTGGCTGAATAGCTTACTTGCATTCTTGATAAATGAGTTTCTGACTGTTTAAGCCAAAGAAAACCAAGCCATTTAAAATCTAGTCTAATTAAGCTAGATAAAAGTAATTTGGTCTACACTGATAACATTTGTATTGAATAGCCCTGGGACAATCAGCGTGGTTCTCCCATTCCCTGTGCTGGTGATGAGTCACTGGCTTACCCACTTACATGGCTGTGTACTAGTGTAACTGACTGAAAAGTCAGGCTCCCGGTTTTGTGAAAACATCTTGACTGCTTCTTTGTGTCATGTCACACTTTTTTTTCTGGTGCTGGAGTTACTTTTGGATTGAGTGTAGTACTGAGTTTTGTGTCACTGTATGGAAGCTACGGCAGTTGCTTCTCACAAAAAACCCACCTCAAACTCCACTATAACAGCCTTTCTCCTTTAAGACATTGAACCGAAATACGCGTGTGTAAGCAACAGACTGTTTTGTGTCTACACCAATATACAGTATGTAGTTTAAACCTAGGAATATTCACTAGGATGAAATTGGGCGAATTACTTTGCTGCAGAGGCATAGCTTGCTTTTCAGTCACCAGATCTGGCTGCTGTCACAGTTTTTCTTTTGTTTAGTTGGTCTGGCTCTCTAATTGAGCAAGAGCTATACTTTCTGGGATAAACAAGTAGGAAAGAAAATACACAGAATCCACAGGGATCTGGGGCCATCTTCTCTCCTTGTCTCCTGTTCTCAGTCCAGCTCCCTCCAAACCTCATTTTACAAGTTTCCATATTAGTTCTTCCTTACACTGGAGGTACCCTACTGCATGTCCTACTCTTTTTTTCTCCTCCAAAAGCAGGTAAACTTCATATGCATACATTTTAACTCATTTGTAGAGATGCAGAGTGCTAAGGTTGAGAAGTTCCTTCTACCTCACTCAGTGTCTGCAGCACAACCCAACAGTGTGTCCTGGGAGAAGACCCTGCTTGCTCTACCAGCTGTTCTCCTTTGGTGTTGCTCATTACTGATATAATCCAGGATAAATCCTAAAACCTGATTATTGATACTTTGAGGCCGCAGGCCAGGAACATTGATTAAGCACTGGAAAAGAAACAAACCAGCTTCCAGAAATCATGGCAATGGTTTGGAAGGAAACTAATGCCCTGGCTGTGTCCTGTTATTGGAACAAAAAGAGACATGAGAGGAAAATATGTTTTATTTTTCAGTAACACAGGCAACAACTGCCTGCATTTGATAATGGTTTTAATTTAGCCTCCAAGATAGCATGCAAGTCCAGGAAGATTTGTTACCTAGTTTAAAACAATTAGTATGTTGTTCATCTGTCATGTTTTATGAAGAAAGTGTGAGCTGAGCAGAAAGATCGCCCTATTCTCTTCTCCAAGGCGTGAGATAACTTCATAAAAATTTCTTTTGGAAGAATTGACCTAGGAAATACTTTAATTCAAAGCAAGAACAAATGTAAAGCATCATGAGATTAGTCCTACTGAGACTGTAGAAAGGATTCCGAGAGCTGACATAGGGTGAAGATGAGTAGCTGAGTAAATCCAAATTGATACAATTTTGGTAGGTGAAGTTCAAATAGTCAAAGATGTCCCTTTATGACAAAAAAGGGATATTTAGGACAAAAAGAAGAGTGAATAAATTTGACCTGTGAATAAAAATATCTTCTACCCCGTTGCTTAAAACTAAATCAAGAATATAGCAACAAAATAAGCCAAGGGGACAATGAACTGTTTCAGTACATTTGCTATAGCTAATACTGGAAACTCCAAATTCCCAAGCACAAGCTCCCCCACACCCGTGCAATTATAAAGGCTGCTCATGGCAGCATGTCACTCAATGCCACAAAAAGCAAGTGGAGAATTAGTAATGCTAAAGCTACAGATGACAAAGCTGAACAAGTTTGTAAGTATCACCGAAACAGATCAATCCTTTGATTGTACAAAGGCGACCGGTTCAATGGCCTTTGAGAGACCAAGAGTTATTGTTGCGATGCTTTTAAAATACAGGGCTTTCTGCAGGATCCAATGGGTAATTACATACCTTGTATGGAACAAATTATCGCAATTTAAGAATAAAGAACTTGATCCTGCTCCCAGTGATGTCAATAGGAAAACATCACTTACAACATCATTCCACAGTGTGGAAATGTTGTTTCACAAAACGAGGACTGACCTCACCCTTTCATGTGTGGTTTTCTGAGGATTCTTGGGTTTAGGACTATAATATGTCTTTAGTTTATTACAAATGTTCACCAGAATGCATGTATTAAAAGTCTGGTGAATGACGTCCACCCAACGTCAGTATTTATTGTATGCTTTATTCCAAGAGATGCTAGCATTTTTTAACAGATTGCGCCTGTTTCTTGAGAACGAACTTACAAAGTAGGAAACAATTTTTGTCCTGTTAAGCCTTAAGGCTAAGAGAGCAGCTCTACAGAAAAAAAAAAAAAAAAAAAAGAAAAGGCCAGTTTTTGGCCACGATACACTGAGCAGTTGTGCACGCTGTGCAGGGGCACTCTTCAAGTCCGTACCTGTAACAGTTTACAAGACAGATAATTACTATTACCAGGATTGGTAGCACTGAATGGAAAATGGTTTTGAAAATTGCTCCATCTTGAGCAGCATAACCCATACATTCCTCAAAGGTTTAAGTGTAGTTACATCTCAGGCTGTTTTATAAGCAGATGGGTAAAAAAATACTGCGTAGCAAAGCAATCTAGCAAAATCCAGTATAATGACCATATTGAAGATGTTACTGAGCCTGTTAAAAGAGGACATATTAAATAACGCATGCACGACTTTTAACAACCTTTTTGTATCCACATGAAACTGTCAGTCAGCATTTAACCTCAAATATGTAACTGAGGTGTTTACAGTTGTTCCATAATATTAAACTGTTAGAAGTGGCATTCATCCGTCTCTGGTCACTAGCTCAGACCTCATCACAAAGGAATTGTTTTGAAAAGCTCCTCCCAAATTTTGGTCATAACCCCAATGGTCAGATAGATAGTTTGCAGTAGTTAGGCAAAGAAAACTGCCAGCAGTATTTTCACAAAATCAACCTTACTGTGTCTTCTGTAATTCGAACATACCTCTGTCAGCCTTGGCAGAAAGGCAGCTGGGATTCTTAGTTTCTTTACATTTTATTTTGTCATCTCATGAGTGACTTGTATTTTCCATGGCAGAATTAATGTGTAGTCAAATAAAACATCTTGGAAGCTATTCTTACCTTCACAAACCCAGATGAACACTGTGAATGATGCTTAGCATTTCTAGCCTCCTGCTCTATGATATCATGGCCTTGTGTCATTTCTGAATAATTCCATTTTATGCAGTAGTTTCATCTCATCTCTATTGTTCTTTGTTTTTTTTGCCACAGCCATTTCTCTTGGCCATCACTCTGCATTACTCGTTCAAATTTATTTTTCCATGGATAAAACCTCCTGGTTGTAAGGATAAGATAGCTGAGGACATTTGAGCTGTTCATGTTGGTTTTTTTGGGGGGGAAAACCACAACCTCAGTGAGTCATGTTTTCTCATACACTAAAAAATACACACTCTCCTAATAAAATGGAAACTACATACTGAGATACATCATTTGCCTATAAAAGTGAGAAAACACTTGCTATTGAATGAAAACATACATGTAAACCCCACTGGATTTGAAATTTCAGTCACTGGCAGTGTTAATATGTGCCAAAACAAAGTGGATTCATCAATTCTGTTCTATAGATGTCAAAATTATTAGCGCATGTGGAAAAATCTAAATTTCCATACACTTAACAGTGCCGGCTTTTGTTAGATACTTGAAACTTCCTTCATGTATTGCAGGTTGTCTTTGTCAGCTGGTGCAAAAGCTTCTGGGACTGTGGACTTGTAGCACTGGATGATATATCATTCAGCCTGGGAAGCTGCCAGGCTGCTGGTAAGACCATGTATATTTGTCGTCCAACAGCTGCTACCCTTTTTAGTAAGAGTTCATCGCATACCTTAATTTTCCAAGCCCATCCTACAGCTGCCTTCATCCCACCGTGGTTTCTTTTCTTTTCTCTTTCCAATAAATATTGCATAAATTCTATCTTTGCAGTAGCATACATACAGCAAGGGCCAGTTTTTGTTCACAGCAGAACCAGCTAACTCCTAATTAACTCCACTGACTCCAGTGCAGTTGTATATAGATGAGCATTCCTTTTGGGGAACTACAATTTAGAAAAACCAAAACAGTCCAGCTGAGGGGAAAGTAGTTTTCAAATGGCTTTTAGGAAACCAGGAATGGACCCAAAAGCAATATTTTCAAAACACAGCATTATTCTTTTAAGTCCAGAAGTACAGTTGTGCAAGGCAAAGACACAATCCCTTATCGGAGTTGCAGTTCTGTGATGAGGACTAATGAGTCTAACTCTCCCTCCTGTAGTGAGAGGAACTGAATGGTTTTGACTGAGACTTTACCCTCTGACATGCACAGGCTAACCTCTCTGAACTCACCCAAATTCCCTCTTCTGGGGCTTTTTGAGGTTTGACAATACAATGATTGTATCCTAATTTAGAAACCATTCTTATGAGATGGGCACAATCTATAAACCCATTCTTCTTCGGAATAAAGCCATGCCTTTGAAATGGTGATGAGGCTGATCTACCGTACCATTTATATTTCCATGTAATAATAACTATTTAATGACCTCTTTTGATTGGATTTCATGCATTCAGGCAGCTAACCATTACAGAACAAGAGAAGTCACATGTATAAAACAAGATGCCATTTTTCTAAAGTATTTCCAACAATTGTCTGTTTTGCCTTTCTGTAGTTCCTAAGTAATTTGAAAACGAACCAAAGGTGCAGAACTGACACTTTGGTATATAGTCATACTGGGACTTGTCACTGATGGCAGCAAAAAAATGCTCAAAAAATGCCCCAGAGTATGTGAGGCAACAAGGCTTCCTCCTTTTCAAAAGGTGAAAGCAGCTCAGAGTGTCTACTTCTGAACTACAGATTCAGATTATAGCAGAAGAGCTGACAGAAGCTTCCTGGCAAGCAGCTGAATTGTCAACTTTTTGTCTTCTGCATCATCTAATAGAATTGAAATAATGAAAATACTCTAGTAATTACAGCTCTGTGGTCTGTTGTATGCAGTATTAGAATCTGGTGCCAAGGCAACATAGGAGAGCTAAATGTGGCGTTTGATTTCAGATTACAGGAATGCCAATCTTTGACAATACTCATTTAATATGCATGTTGTACATGCTGGAGCTCATTAAACTGCTTGGGGTGCCACAGTAGTGAAGAAAATTACACTGGTAGAGCCCATTGTGAACAGAGTTAAGAGCTATGATGAGATAATAAACTGCATGAGATGCTTTAAAGAATATTAGTATATGTTAGTGAGCCAGACTAGGGCACAGATTTCCCTAAAGCTGTGAAGAAAATGAAATTAAATTTTGTACATCAGTTTGAAGCTAGCTTTTATAAGTTTATGACAACTGAAAGTATTGCTAGATAGATACGTGGTTTCAGCAGGTGAGTGAATGCAATACATACCTTGTGTAATCTCTCCCTGTACCTGTCTAATATATTTGCCGTTTTAAACAGTGTCCTCTCCTTACAGATCTATTGCTGACCAATCCTGGAGAGTGTACTTTTGAAAAAGATGAGTGTGTGTTTACCCAGAAGAAGAGAGGTCGTGGGAGTTGGCACAGAAGGAGGGGTCCAACTCCCACTTCTTACACCGGACCGAAAGGAGACCACACTACTGGGGTAGGTGAGTTAAGCTCCACATTGAACTTTCAGAACAGAGATCGATAGTTAATAAAAAATACTTTGAAATGATAACCTAGAACACAGACCAAGTTTTTACTCTTCTGTTCAGAACAGTTATTAATCAAACGAAGTAAACCCGCTTCTTAGGGACCCACAGATGGTTTTGAGAATGTGGTGTTTAATCTGAATTACCTGCAGACGAAGTGGGTAATTCGGTCTTTGTGTCCTAAAGTAGACCTTTCCTTTGGGAGAAAAAAGGACAGGATGACTGTGGTGGGTAAACCCTGGCTGGACAGCAGGTACTCACCAAAGCCATTCTATCACTCCGCCTCCCCTCAGCTGGACAGGGGAGAGAAAATATAACAAAGAGCTCGTGGGTCGAGGTAAGGACAGGAGAGATCACTCACCAATTACCACCATGGGCAAAACAGACTCAACTTGGGGAAAATTAATTTTTTGCCAGTCAATCAGAGTAGGGTAATGAGAAATAAAACCAAATCTCAAAACACCTTCCCTCCACCCCTCCCTTCTTCCCAGGCACAGCTTAACTCCTGGATTCTCTACCTATCTCCCACCTCACCCCAGTGGCACAGGGGAATGGGGAATGGGGGTTGTGGTCAGTTCATCACATGTTGTCTCTGCCACTTCATCCTCCTCAGGGGCAGGACTCCTCACACTCTTCCCCTGCTCCAGCGTGGGGTCCATCCCACAGGAGACAGTTCTCCAAGAACTCTCCAATGTGGGTCCTTCCCATGGGCTGCAGTTCTTCACAAACTGCTCCAGCATGGGTCCCTTCCATGGGGTGCAGTCCTTCAGGCACAGACTGCTCCAGCGTGGGTCCCCTGCGAGGTCATGATTCCTAACAGAAAACCTGCTCCAACATGGGCTCCTCTTTCCACAGGTCCTCAGGTCCTGCCGGGAGCCTGCTCCAGTGCGAGCTTCCCACAGGGTCACAGCCTCCTTTGGGCACCCACCTGCTCCAGCGTGGGGTCGTCCACGGGCTGCAGGTGGATATCTGCTCCATTGTGGACCTCCCTGGGCTGCAGGGGGACAGCCTGCCTCACCATGGTCTTCCCCACGGGCTGCAGGAGAATCTCTGCTCCGGCGCCTGGAGCACCTCCTCCCCCTCCTTCTTACTGACCTTAGTGTCTGCAGGGCTGTTTCTCTTAACATGTTCTCACTCCTCTCTCCAGCTGCAGTTTCTGAACTGCCACAACTTTTTTTTCCCTTCTTAAATATATTATCCCAGAGACACTACCACTATCGCTGATGGGCTTGGCCTTGGCTGGCGGCAGGTCCATCTTGGAGCCGGCTGGCCTCGGCTGTGTCAGACATGGGGAAGTTTCTGGTGTCTTCTCACAGAAGCCATCCCTGTAACCCCCCCGCTACCAAAACCTTGCCACAAAAACCCAAGAGAATGACTCTCCAGACCCCATGGAAAAGCCTTCTTCCAAACCCCTAGGTTATGGGAATATTCTGTGAAACTAAAAGGCAAACAAGTGGTTGGGATCTCTTCTTGCATGAACACCTTCCTGTTCAAACTTAGAAGAAAACATGGATAATAAAAGAGGTCCCACAGACCCTTTATCTTGAAAATCTCCTCCATAACCTTATTGGTGTAATATAAACTATTTAGGCAAGTGGGGCCCCCATTAGCATGAGCGAGCGCACAGAAAACTGCATCAGAATTGCCCCCACACCAGGGGCAGTACCTGTTTGACTTTTGGAAATGACAAAGTGCATCACTGCGTTGGGTGCTCGTGTTCCTGCAGAGGACCTCAGTAACAACTCCACTGACTTAGTATAATGGATGAAACTGCCCTAACGCTTGTGAACTTTAAATGCTTACATAGGTCTAAGAAGGCTTTTGGGGCCTTTGGATTTGCCCTCCTTCACAGTGGTTACCATTCATTCAACAAGTCATAAAGTCAGTTGCAGACAAGCTGGCTTATTCACAGTAGCCATCTATCCAGTCTGTTAAAAATTTTAACTGAATTACAAAAGCAGTTGGCCTCCTCAAAAGGCTCACCAAAAGCTGTTATTATTCTGTCAGCTGTGACTGAGTGTAAACCACATTAAGCATCATCAAGCATAGTTATTTCAGCTGTGCATCTGAAGTCTTGCTCTATGCAAACTTAATTCAAGTGACTCTGGAAAACCCTTTTGTTTCTAGTTAACAAAATAACAAATGCTTCTAGTTAATAAAATAACAAATGTTTTGTCTTGTTTCTGATCTCTTTATCTAAAAAGACAGCTTTGTACATGTTCAGCAAAATCTCCCTTCCCTATCTCCTGGTAAAATTTTTGTAATAGTTGCATCTTCAGCAAGGTATGGAAATTGACTAGAGAGACGTAAATTCATGGTGTGGGGGACTGTATGGCCAACATCCTACATGTGGAATTGAGAATGCAGATGGGAATGTTTCTCTTTGGCTTGAAATTTCAGATCACCAAGAAATTATGTTCTTCCTTTGTTAATTCTAAACAGTAGTGATTCTGGGTAGAAACATGAATAGCCTTCAGAGATAAGTAAGTTTTAAAGCTTAAAACTTCTCTTATGTGTTATGAAATAAAACCTAGAAACATTACTTACAAATCTGACCATGTTCTGACCAGATCTATTGGCTATCTAAGTGGAAAATGTAGGCTATCTACAAATTAAGAACATTTTCCCAATAATGATACCTTTGTACTGTGGAATGACTTTCAAAGGGGAATACTGAAATTCTTGTCCCTTTTCAATTTAAAAATTAGATGACATTAGAGTGAATTAGATGACGTACTGTCTGTAAGTCTTTGTTACCCATGCTCTCCAGTTCTTCTGCATCAACTAGACATGTGACCACCAGCTTTAAAATAAGTGAGAATTTTTCCTAACAGTTTTTAAAGTTCATTTGAGAATTTTTATTTTGAAATGTGGGTGAGACTCTTGGAGAAGCATCTGTACCCCATCTCTGCATTGTCTGGCAGACCGTTCTTTTTCTACAAAATATAACCCAAAAGGACTACATCACATTAAAGTGGTTGTTTTGGTAGGTAACCAAACTCAATTCCATAAAAGGATTTAACATTCAGGTTGTTTTGATGCCTCCCCCCTCCCCGGTTATTCCCTAGATAATATATTTTATTCTTCCTCTTTCGAATATTCTGTATGTCCCAGCTCTTGTGTTTCCAAGGACAATAACCATCTCCTTATAGTAGAAGCAACACTTAAAAGAGTTTCTTACTCAAGAACTGGAATGGGCTGTTAGCACAATTTTCTTGATCTGTAAGGCAGAAACTGCCTTTAGACCTATTTTCAGTTTATGTAGATCACTAAGATCTGAGGCTTCTGATTCTGAGATCTGAGGCTGACGGCTCAACTTCAGAACTGGTGAAGCAAGAGAATCTTTTAAGCCTGGCCTCTGACAACGATGTTTATTCCTTATTTCACACATCTCTTTGCAGCAAGATGTGCTGAGAAATGCATAGATTTGAATTCACAAAACCAAGAGCTTATCTAGTCTTTCCAACAAGTTTATAATATGATTCAGGCCTTAGAACTAAAGGCAGGTTATTTTATTAAACTGTAGTATGAGCTGTAGGCTTTGATTTTTAACTCAAGGAACATTTAAGCATTGTGAACATCAAAATTCCCACAATGGCTTGCACTAAGTTTTGTATAAGTAGCCTTGGGAATTCTCCAACACACTGTATGAAATTATCTTTTCTTTACAGAACTACAGCTGTACATAATTTTCCTTTTCGCCTTTTCTCTCTACTGCTGCTCACCACCAAACTACAACCCAGGTCAGAAGGGATGTCTTCAGCATGGGTTTGTGTAGATGAGGGACACCGTGAGCATCCACTGGCTGCTCTTTCCACTCTCAGCTTTTCTCCTGCCTTACTGATCGTTAGGAATCCCCTCTCCCCCTGAGGGTGATCTCAGTGCCAGGACTTGTGGTGGCAGAAAGGCAAATTGTTTTCTCCAACACAACAAAAAGGGAACAGTGGGACTGCATGAAGAGCTGCTGCAAAATCGGAGTTTGCTGCCTGCTGGCAGAGTGTACATCTCAAGACACAGAACAGCTGCCACATGCAGCAGCAGATGGGATGAGGTGGGGATGCTCCTCAGTCTTCTGACACACCTCAGTTTCCTCCAACTGGAAATAACGGAATGATGGATTGGGGGTGGGAGGATGTGTAATTTGCCTGCCACCAATTAATGACTAATTTTTCCACAGATTAGAGTTCATGACAATCTTTCATTCACTCATGGATTCTAGAGAGTCTAGGTTTCCTCACTTGTGTCTTCACGTCTTGATCACAGAAAGAAAAATATTGTTGATGTCATATGTGATTTAAAAGAGGTATTTCAATTCATTTGCTTTGTTAATAGCATCAGCTCCACACATTGCATAAACTGTACCCTCAGATGTACATGCAGCTGTCTCTGAATTCCAATTACTTGACCAATGTCAGAGTGCATTCCCGGTTTATGAACAGCTATGATTTTGTATTCCTTTCTGTTGCTATGTATTTCATCAGATATAAACAAGTTTTTAAGTGTTCTTATATTAGCATTCACAAATATTACCATTATTATACTACAAAATTATTACAATATCACAAATACTACAGTTCACAAATACAAGAGTCTACAGCATAAATATCTGTATCAAAATAGTTTCAATAATTTTCAATCATTTTTTATATAATGAGCATGTTGACCATAATGAACATGCTGAGAGAATGTATTCTACTTTGCTAATATTTGCTTGTATATCTTTTTAAGGATACTACATGTATATAGAGGCATCCAACATGGTCTATGGACAGAGAGCATACCTAGTTTCAAGATCACTAAGAGGAAGTGGAAAACAGTGCTTGACATTTTTCTATCACATGTATGGAGCTGGGACTGGATTATTAAGTGTTTATCTAAAAAAGGAAGGTGATGATGAAGAGATTCCTTTGTGGAGGAGGACAGGGGAACAAAGCATCTCATGGTTAAGGGGACTGATAGAATATGAAAGCGATAGAAACTACCAGGTAAGAAAAAACAAACAAAAAGCAGTCAAAATGGAATATTGAACTGAACTATGTGCTAGAATCCACGTTTTGGGTTGTATAAAAAAAAAATTAAAATGTAGAGAGCATTGAATGGACACCTGAACAAGCTGAAGTAACATGTAATTTCTTACAAATGAAGGTAGGGAGGGAATTATTAAAGACATTAATAGGTTGCAAGTATGAAAATAGTTCATTAATTCAAAATTTTTTAAAAAGTATTTAAATGCTGTTTTCCCATCATTTCTTGTCAGTAGTGGTAATTTTTATTTAGATCACTTGTGCAATTTCTTTTCCTTCAGCTGTCTAAAGCCCTGTCTAGATTTGACATAACCACTAAGCTGTGATAAAACAGCTGCTTCTTGCAGGATAGTCTTTCTGAGGTGGCACCAAAGGCAAGGAATGATGCAAAGCCAGAACTCTGCCTTTGGTTTCAACAGTGCCATCATTTCAGTATGGCCAGAGATAAAGCCTGCTTCAGTTTCTCTGTCAAAGAGGAAGCTGAAATTGCTATTGACTGAAACAGCACTGGGCACAAAACTGCACAGATCACTAACGAAAGCTGTTGTGTGGGTTTTTTTAATCACTTTGCCTTAAGAGCCTGAAAATTAATTGGGGCGGGCTGGGGTGGGGAGGGTAAACCTTTTACTGAAAAGCAAGTTTAGCTTCATCAGTAAGACCATAACATAATATTGTAATGCCTTTTTTGCCCCTCAAGTCTTGCTTGCATAGGGGAAACACACCGTGGCACATTTGGGCTGAAAAACAAGATAGAAATGTCACATCACTAGAGAAAATTTATCAGTGGTCTATAACACACAGCAATTTCTTAACAAACTGTGAGAACAGATTTGCTTCCTTTGACATAGCACACACCCAAATTCTCTGACCAGGGCAATCAGTCCACTGATGGAGCATAGAAGTTTCTTTCCAAGAAGCAGGCTTTCAGGACACACTAGATCCTTGAATAGACTGCATGGGTATTATATTTTTTTAGTCCTTCCTCCTGTGGGATTCATGAAAAGCTGTGTCTTACCTTTACAGATTATTTTTGAGGCAATCCGTGGTGTGTCAATGAGAAGTGACACTGCTATTGATGACATTCTGTTCCAGGCAGGACCCTGTTTAGGTAAGTTTAAGCCTAGCAATTCACAGTGCTTTTAGTAATGAGGTAGGTGATAACTTCTTCCCTTGAATCCCCACTGAATGGATCTGAATTTACTATCATGCTGCTTGGTTAGTGCAGAATTTTTGTGTTCTAATAAGATGCGAGACCATGCTCAGAATCTGGACTAGTAAACATGCTGTGGTGGTCCCATTTAAATCCAGCATGGTAATTACATTCTGTGTTACGCATTCTTTTGTATGATAAAAATACAAATAATTACAGTATTTCCCCCTTCTTTGTATTCTAGAAGTGGAAGAAATTCAATTCTCATCAGGCTATCCCGACAACTTAAATGAAATTGAGTATTAAATACAGTCTCCTGAAAGGAATGAAGTGTGTAGAAGATTTGTGTGTGAGAAACTGCACAAACTGCCTATTTTAAAATATTTTTTAAGTAAATACTGGACTGGTTTGAATATACACCAATATATAGGAAGAACTCAGAGCACTCATGTTCCTTGCCTTTGCAATGAAATTATCGACTCAGGGCTTCTTAGACTGTTTTTTTTCTCTTTTGCATGATATATCAGTTATTATATAAAGGCTTCCCATTTTGCACAGATCAGTCATTTTAATGCTTTCTTTTTTTCTTTTTTTTTTTAACCTTTCTGGTATATAGTTAAAAAGAAGAAAGTAAGGGTGCACAATTAAGATCCAATATTGTGTTATTTTAAATCTGCATTCAGTGAATGTTTTGTGTTGGGTACAGAATGGATTTTTGTTAAGGAAATTATAAATATTTTGAAATAATAAAGAAAATAGTATTAGCTACTAGTAATAGCCTACAGGTTAAGTGCAATTATTCTTGACAAATCTCTCTGGGAAACTCTTAACACTCTGCTGGCAATTTTTTGTGGTTTTGTATCCATTTACTATAACAAATATATTTGTCATCCTTGCCAATAACAAACTCACTTTTCAGTGTAAGCTGCTGACATTTTGGACTGTATTAAATGAAATGGTTCAAAGCTGTATGTTTTCTGGCTTACAAGTCTTGGGGATTTTTTTTAATCAATTTGTACACTCACAAGGAATGCACTTACACTTTACCCAACTACAGATGCCTTGCATTTATATTAATAGGAAACTGAATTCACACAACTTGTTAATTTTTAAGATTTTATGTGTTTGTGTGTAAGGTTTTGTTTTGAAATTATGATAACTTCCTAATAAAATGTAACTTTGAAAATCATCTTATTGTTCTGCTCTAGACTTTATAGTTACTGGTGTAATGAGAAACAACTTAACCTAATATAGTAGCCTGAATTCAGTATTTTGTATATGAAGAGAATGAAGTGTGTGGGTCACATCACCTAAGATAGCTGACAAAAAGCAATCATCTGATCTGCTGTAAGAAGTTCCTGTATTGAGCCATAGAAATTATTCTTAACAGCCACAACATTCAAGATGTTGCTGCAAGATGTGAGCCCTGAAAAGGGGGAATAGCCTCTTCTCTTTTCAGAACAAGTACACATTTTTCCTAATGGCCTATAAGGATCAACAGCACCTGGGACAATCTAGCCACCTGCATCTTTAGTAAGTTTTCATTTTGATGACACAAACAATTGAAGAGCTTGTTCAGTTAAATACATTCAGTACTAACGTGTTTGTTTGACCACACAGATGGAAGCAGTTTATTATTTCCTAGAGACTGAGGAAGAGCAAAAAGGAATTGACATCTTAACTGTCTATCCTAGCTACCTACAGTCCCCATTGGCAGCTCGTTCTGAACACATCACTCTTGCTATTATTCTGAAAATGAAAGCAACCAGAAACAATGGACTGTTGCCTAAGAGTCACTATCTGTAAGGCGTATGCTTTGATATCAACATTCAGATCAAATTATTAATAAGAACATAAGCAAAGTACTCTATTTCACTCTCCATTGAGCATTCTCTAGGGACCTCACCAGTGCAATGATTTTGTCAGTTCGCTGAGGGTAGTAATTATCCATAGGGCATGTAGCACCATCCTGACTGCAAAAAAAGCCTAAGTTCTTCCTTCAGTAGGGAACAACAGCACCTTTACAACCATTTCTTCCTGCAGGAATTAAAGAACAGAAAGAGAATTTCAAAGGAGGCTTTAAATTACTTTAGTGCCTGCTGAATATCGATTTATAGAATAGGAAATTCACAGACTGTTGAAAGAATGGCTGCCAAACATCTGAAAACTAGGGAAGGTGCATTAAGATTTCTCCACTGGCAAACTTCAGTTTTATGGTGAGATAGAAAACATTCCATCAGCTCTGTCCAGATAGGAAACTCCCGGTGCAACTAATTTCTGCCCTGGATCCATTTTTATTTACTATTTGTTCTGTTCTCACTGCTGCAGTAGCTGTACATGGACCACAGCAGGGCAAAGCACAGTTCTGAGGCATGCTGTACTGGGCCTGTTTACTGTATGAAAATTTCTTCAAAAGCTACTGAAGAACCTACAAGTAATTGCTTTGATCCCAGTTGTGGCACAGTCCATAAAATGGAAATTAAAAAGAAACCTTCAAAAGCAGCTATAACACCCCAAACACTAACAGGCTTGTATTTGATTGCTCTAAATATAGCTTTGTGCTGGAGTGGGACTGAACTTGTCCTGACATCAGAAGAAAAGCCCTTTTACTGCCCTCTTGTTTAATACTCTTTATTCTTTAAATATTTTCCATTAGTTGACATTTTGTCATTATGCTTATTAATTTCCAAAAAGAGGGCCAAATTCAGATCTCAGTTACACCAATGGAAAACCAGAATAACAACATAAAATATCATTGTTATTCTAGCTTTATGCTAATGCAAATGAAACTGTATTCTGGTTGACTATTGTGTCACACCAAAATAAACCTAACAGAAATCCAACTTTACAGTCATGAAGCTTCACTAAGACAGCACAAGATGAGCACTAAAAGACCTGGCATTTTATCTACCTTGATCTGAACACAGCTCACAAGTGTGACTGCCCACACTCGAGAGACCCACCACTCTGAAAGGACCGCTGTATAAGGTAAAAGGCTGAAGAGAGCACACTTTTCCTGCAACATGACAGAGTCAAAAGGTTCTAACCCTCACATTTTGTCAAAGAGAAAACATCAGTCTCGTCCTACCTCAAACAAAACACTAGGTGTCAAATGTGAAATTTACTTAATTTTAACATTTACTTTGGAAAAACATTTCAGTTTGTGATTTCAAGTTTCTTAGTTGCTCAAGTATGAATGAATAAACTTTCAATATTCCTTTACATAAGTTTGATCTGTATTAACCTTGCTGTTTTCTTCCCATCCCTCCTCTGTTGTTCTCTTGTCCACCTCCTGCACCTTTCTGTGCATATGGTTTTTCTGAATATCAGCATTTTGGTCTCTTTGCCAACTGCATACCCTGCTATGTTCCTTTGCTCACTGCTATAGTACTATGGTACATCTTGCTGCTCTTATGTTCTGTATTAGCTTTTACAACCTCCCTCTCTTCTTTCAAGAACTCCACCTGGTCCAAGCCTGGCCTACTTTGCAGCCTTTGCCATCTCCTTTTTTCCAGCTCTCATCAGCATCCATACTCACCAGATCCTGCAAAATGCTCCCTGACAAGTTCTGGGAAAAATGGATCTCTTCAGCAGTCTGTAGTGGGAATATGTTGAAATGGTTTCTTAATCTACCACCTCCTTCTCTTTTGTTTGGTTACTTAATGAGTCTAACTCTACCCTTTTGGTCTGCAAGCTTGAGACACAACTGATTTCAGAGACTACAATTTTTATTGATTAAATAAAACATTACCAACTAATAAATCAAGTAATATTCTAATTAACTAATAGACACACCAGCGTTACTAATTTACAATGATACAATTTTGCACTCTATTACGCAGCCATTACAAAGTTATTCTCATAAATCATATGAATGACATACTTTCAATTTCATTATCCTTTCCCTCCATACCACATAGTACTACGGTTCATTTCTATGCTTATCATTCTGCACCAGGTCTCCTGGACCTGGACCTGGTAGAGAGTTCAGTGGGTTATCCAAAGCAGCTGTCTGATGTCCTGGTGGGCTTGGACATGCAGGTCACCTTCATTACTGTCTGTGGGCATCTGCACTGAATACTGTTGGAGGAGAAGTCCCTTTCATTCTTTAATGGATCTTAGTCTTTCTTTCCCCATTTTTTCCCTGTATCTGGAACAACCTTTTCACTGCCCTTGTACCTCTCTTTATCTACCTAAATTACCCTCAAAGAAGCAACCTGCCTTAAATTACTTTTTTCTTGTTGATCCCAATTCTGCTACATCCCCACCCAAAGATACTGTTGTCCTTACCATGGCAGTCTCAATCTTTGCAGGGTATTACAAATACAGCTGCTTAGGTACAAGTGGCCTTGCAAGCCTCCACATGCCAAGTATCTGGTTCATACTGGAAAAACTTGTAAAATTTCTAGGACAAATCACTCTAGTTACCTGTCAATTCCTTTACCTAGTTCCACTTAAGCACAAGCAGTTTATCTCTGTCTTTCAGCAGTCTTAATCAGCCCCCTGGTCCCTCATAAAAACTTTGGCCAGTTATGAGGCCTTGCGCTCCAGCAGGAACTCTTGGTCTGAGAGAAAAGATAAAGCGTGTGGGAAAAGTAAGGCACCTGCAACACCACTGGTGATGGCCCTGCAGTCAAGGTGCCAACATCTCACATACATGCATTCCTCTAGGATCATTTCTGAAGGACACCTATCCTTCCTACAGACGTCCTGACCTCTGAAGTAACACATGTAAAAAATGTTTTTTTCTGTTGCTTTGCCAAAAATTAAGAAAAACTAAACAAACCCAGACACGTGCTGGAATATGAAAGCAGAGTTCGCTCGCCCGGAACCCAACCCTGTCCCCAGTAGGGAAGGAGGATACCTCCGAAGCACTGGCCGCCCAACTGCTCGGCTGTGCTGCCACCTCGTGGGAAAGCCGCCACCACCACTCTCCCGCGCAGCGTTACGCTGCCCCGCCGCCGGGGAAAGGCCGGCAGCTGGCGGCGACAGCCGAAGGGGCCGGGGCCCGCAGCCCCGAGGCCTGCCCAACCCCCTCCCACCCCGCTCCGGGCAGCGGCCTCCGGGAAGCACGCCAAAGACGGTCCCCGGTGCCGGTCGCCCCTCTTCCGAGGGGTGAGCACGGGTGGGAGGCCGCCTGCGGGGGGGGCGCGGCGCAGGCATCGGCACCTTCCCTCTGCGCAGCGCCCGGCCCTCCACGGCCCGAGCCGTCCCAGCGCGGGGCACGCCGCCCGGGAGTCACCGCCCTCCCGCCGCAGCACTGACCGGGAGCTGCGAGCCCGCGAGGCGGGAAGGGATCTCTCCCGCCGGCCGGGAGGGGCCAAAGCTGCGCCTCAGGCCGCGCAGCTGCCTCAGCACTGGGGAGCACGGCCAAGGCCCGCCGCCTCCCGCCTCCTTGTCTGGAACCAAAAGCAACGCCACAGGCTTCCTTCCCGGACCCCCCCCAGCACCCCGCTCTCCTCCGGCCAATGGGCACCAGCACGACAGGCTGCAAGCCAATTCAAAGCTTCATGGCGGTTTAGTCCCGCCCCGTCTGCCAATGAGCGCGCTCCTCACCTGCCCGCCGTTTCCCTCCCGCCAATGAGAGCGAGGCGCGGGCACGTCCTCGCTGCCGGGGGTTGAGGGGGCGAAGATGGCGGCGGCGGGGAAATGGAGCCTGGGCGCCTGTCAGGTCGGCGACGGCGGCAGCCAGCGGG